TATATATATATATATATAATAAAAAAATTCTTACAGCCACGACATTTTAACATGTGAGGTTGAAAAAAAAACCAGCTTATCACCCCAGAAATTTCTATAAAACAAAAAAATTGTTCCCCAAACAGAACTGTGGCGGCGGTCTGAAACACAAAATAATTAGATAGCAATCCCAATCAAACCCTAAACTCATGACCTTTGAGTTTAAAAAAAAACATTTACAACAATTGTGCTGTAGATACTTAATAAAAAAAAAATAATAAAAAATTTAAAAATACTTTACAAGCATTGGGCTGCATATACCTAAAAAAATTGTTTAAAAAAATATAAGACAATCAAACCACCTTTTTGGAGTCAACTTGGCTAGCCACATTGCAATGAGGCGAACTGCCCCACTATGGGTCGATTAAGTCTGATTTCAAAATTGATGAAGTCATTTTTCCTTAAATAAATTATTATGTGATGTATTTTTAAATTTAGCCTTCAAACAAATATGGAAAAGGTTGCAGACTAACACAAAATCTAAGACGTTTTAGCAGACAATAAATGCATACAAACATAGCATAAGAATGACCAAGATTGATATCATATAGATATTCATTATTATGCAAGCCACATGCTTCTTATAATTACTGTCATAGGATTAGTTTTAAATAAAAGATTAAGGAGGCTCGAATCTAAAAAATTAAAATTAAAGAACATTTTCTGAATAAATCAGACAAAGGAAGAGAAATTTGATCTAAAAATAGATGATAATGAGACATTAAGATTTTAAAATAGATTGTAAGTATTAATCAACCATAAGTGAAAGATTTAAAGAAACTCATACTGCGGGAAATAGCATGCAACATGATCAAGCTATGAAATAGAGATTATGATAGTCAAAATAAAACAAGATATGCTTGGATATTTTAAGAAAAATGTACGACACATCAAAAATAAAAGCCAAAGATCACTAAACACCTCAGAAATTCCAAAATGGAAGTAAGAACGTATTACAACGAAATTTGTTTTTCAACTACCAAAAACTACAAAGGTCCATCATACAATATGGGTACTAATAAGCAAAATAATTAAAATAGCATGCTCTTTCTCAATTAATACAACATATGGCTCAAATAGACTTGAATACAAAGAAGTTGCAAGAGATGCAAAAATTACGCAATATTCATCTCAAGAATTTGAAAGAGGTTACTAGAAGAATCGAGTTATAATTTAGCATTAAAATCATCCACAAGCAAGCAAACAGTCAGAACAAATCATACAAACAGTGGAAGATATTACAAGATCACATGTGCTTGAGTTTGAAAGAAATAGAGATAAGTACCTTACCATAGCATAGTTTTCCTTTTCTTCAATAATAATAGTTAAAATTACAATATATGAATGATATCTTATGAAGCTCTTTAGGGCAGGATATACCTATCTTCAATTTGTTCAAAAGACTACAGAGAAAAAAATTAGCTGGTTCCTAGTCCTTGAGGTACAGAACAACAAAAAAAAAAGTTATATGAATATAAAAAAGTAAACTACAATTAGGAGATCATACACTTTTGAAAGTATCGTTAATTAAGGGAATATACAATGTTGAAGCCAATGGGACTTGCAATTGATGTCCCCCCATTCATATGGATTTGGCCCTTGGTGTGTGCCCCGCACACTAGAACTCAAATACAATTAAAGGTCAAGCTCCTAGTGCACAAAGATTAAGATCATTGGCCCTTCGATTAAAGCACTTTGAAGCTCTTAGATTGCTTTCTCATGGATCGAGAAGACTAACGACCTTATAGGGGTACCAGTCTCTTCCTATTTTATGCATTGAGTAACTTGCTTTGATTTATTTCTTTTTTAAAGTACTGTATAAATGTCAATATAAACCCCCACACTTTGTACAAATTAAGAGCAAGGAACACTCGTTTTTATTTTCATTATTTGTTCAACTTTCTCTACTTTTCTAAAATTCTAAGCAAAATGGAGCCACAACATATAATCTTGTGCTCATGCCTTGCCTCCTCAGTTTGTTCCGATTAAGATATATTTAATGTATCCTTATAAAGAACATATGTTTCACATCTAATTCATGTTGGAAACATTAAATGTACATCCTGATCAAGCAGATGATGGAGAGGCCACTTCGACTACTACATTAGAAAAAGAAATTTCACAAGAAATATTCCAGTCATAAAAGTGTATTTGGAAGAATCACGAGATCCATAAAGGAAGAGTAAACAAGCAATTAGAAGCCAATACTCCCACTTTTTAAAATAATAATAGATTTTGTTAGTCAACTGTTTACAAAATGAAAGAATTTAATATTTCCTTGTAATAAAATATTTTTCTGTTTAAAGTAAGAAGTTTTAACATTTCATTTCTTTAGAAAATTGACTAAACAACAAAGAGTACTAAAAGAGTTTACTTCTGTGATTCAAATCCATAATCTTCTTAATGTAACAAAGGCCATAAACTATTACTTCAGGCATGTTCTTAATTCTACATCAATATACACACCATAATTGACATTGCAAAATAAAAAGAATGTTTAAATGACTTGAGCAACAATGGAAGCAAGCAAATGATGTTGCAATTGGAGAAATTGTAAGAAGTAAATGAAAAAGAATGGTTGTCCTATCAAATTAAGTTCAAGTGAGCCAGTCTCAACTCAAAATTACAAAGTTTAACTTCAACTCAAACTCAATTCAAGTCAAATAAAACAAGATCGATTTATGTTCATAATTGATACACACACACACACAAGATGTATATCTGTGTCTTCATGTGTGTGTGTGTGTGAAGACACATTGTATATCTATTTATACATATATCAACTTAATTTCAAGTAGAATCTAATTAATTTCATGATGTTTTCATAAGAACCATCCTCAAGTCTAAGCAAATCAATTAAAATTCCAGCTAGTTCCAAGGTCCAAGCATGATTACAAATCCTAAAGACATAAAAAACTAGTACAGAAAAAGTAGACATTTCATTAGTAAAATAAACATAGAAAATTAGACAAGTTAACATTTCAAGTGTTGTTTTTCAAGCAATTAAGGGAAGTTGATTGCTATTTGATTTGATAACTTTCTAGCTAAGGCTTCAAAAGAAACTCACAGACAGAGTATAAGGAGCATTGGCTGGAATATCAGCCTGCAGGCAAACATTCTCAAGGTCAAGTAGAACATACTCCTCATCATTCTCAGCTTGGTAAGATTTCTCTAAACTGGCCTCCATTTTCTTCTAATAGTTAAATTTACAACACAATTATGTATGAACAAGAAGTGACAAAGAAAACCTGCAAAAAGAGAATTAAAAACTAAAATTAATAAAAATTGCTAGATACTTGGATAAATCTTTTTCTCGAGTTATTATAACAACAAAACTGAGAAATGCAGATCATGGGGAAAAAAAATAAGCATTAAATGTTCCCAGACGCAAGGTGCAGGTGGAACTCGACTGTTTATCCTTAGTAGGGTTTTCTGGGAGATGAAACCAACAGATTTCAATTCTCCAGGTAAATGTGTGAGCACAGTTGTAGAATCAAACAAAAGTAAAGAAAGAGACAGCGCCACCTTGTCACTGATTCACCATCGGGTAAATTAGTTTGATAACATTCCAAATCAAGTATATTAGTTTAAAACAGTATAATTTATTTTAGATTAAAAAAAATTTAAACTACTATGGGCCTATGAAGAGAGATCTCTCTTGGTTGCGTTGGCAATAAGGATATCTGAAATGCTCCCCAAAAAGGAAGTTCGATATAACCAAATTTCCCATAGTGATATCCAAAATTTCTATAGATAATTACCCCTGCATATCATAACAGTAAACTTCAATTACGAAAATCAAGTGGTCAAGCTTTAATGAAAGCATGACTGAGAGAATATAACTTCAATCAGAGCTGTGAAGTAACTAGGGGAATTAGGTGGGAGGGCTTGTCATCACTATTGAATCTTGAGAAGGTTGTGCGTTCAAAGCTTTAAAGGTAATGATGCTTAGTTGTGATTTTGTTCAGAGTGATAACAATCATATGATACCACATTCAAGGATATTCCCTAAGAAACAAGGGTGAAGTGACTTATGAAAGAGTTTACTGTGACCTAAAGGTAGAAGACAAGCTCTTGGGGATAAGATAGGCTCCACTTGGAAGGCACAAAGCATGTATATTTCAATGTAATATTAGACTACCTCTCGAGATAGTGATTGGTATAAATTTTGTCTCGCTCTATGACATGGAAAATGGTGTGAGAGATGAGAGTTGAAGTAGTCCTACATAGAATGCAAAGATAAAGAGTTTGAGTTCCTAATACATAACCAATGCTTCTTATCCATTAGCTTAAGCTCTTAGATTGATGGATATCCATTTATGAGTATATTGGATTTAATTTGGATCCTATGTTCCTCTGTCACCCTAAAATTAATAAATTTTCTCAAAACAAATACATATATTGCATATAACTTTTCATATATATTTAACAAAGCTTTCATTTCTTCTATGCTCTTTTCTAGTAGTATGTTGAAGTCAACGTTCAAAGTAATAGACACACAACACCGAAAGCCAGTCAATACAAGAGATATCCAATCATCTAAGTTTATGGATCTCAATTGAATTCCTAAGGGAGGCAATGAAACTCCTAGTACAAGTAGTAATCAATCCGCATGTCCCATACATCAGATCTTTTCCATCAAAATTGTCAATCTTCATCTTCATATCCTCAATGATCACAGCACAAGCTTTGCCCTTGGAACCTCACAAATAGTGTTTCTCAGCATATCTATGTTCTTGGTATTTGTGAGCAAAATATTAGATGTAGCTCATGCAATGTTACATGCCGAATCAAGAAAAAATATTTTTTTTTTCATATTCTAGCAAAAGATTTAATATGAAAGAGTCGGGTTTGTTAATATATTAGTCGGATATGGCAAAATTACTACTTATTTGATGTGTTGAAAACAATGAAAAAGGAGCCAACTACAACTGAACAGAAATCGTGATAAGCCAAGAAACATGCAAAGCAAAAAATGGTTAAGTATGAACTCTATCAAGCCAAATCAAATTTTATGTATTTTATCACATGACCTATATTTTTATAACCACAACTTCAATGCACTATTAAAATCTTATATCAAGTGGAGCGTTAAATATTTTATTGATCCTTTAATGAAAGCCATCCATAAATTATATCAAAACCATTATATTTTAAAAAAAGGTAATAAACAAAATATTTTTTTTGTATAAAAATAATGAACAAATAAAAATATACTACAATATGATTCTGTGCTCCGAAAAAGTCTTAGACTGCTCCAATTAAGAATTGTTGTGAATGATTTTTTCAAAGGTATACCACATAATAGTTAAAGCATTACCTAGATGTTTTCCATCACCAAGAATTTTATATTTATAATTCAAGGCATCTAATGAGCACCATTAATGATTAATTATCCCATAGGATCATAAGAGAGAACTCTAAAACAAGAATAGCCACAAGGCCTTACATTAGGTTTTACACAATGGATTACATTTATTAAAACTTATTTGAAAATATTAACACTCTCATACTCAAAGTATTGGTGGGATCCTCTCATCCTTAAAGATGTCGTCATTAGAAAAAATGATGGTCACTCTCATGCTCAAAGAAGATATCAATTATGATGATAATAGAGAATTTCAAGATATATGACTCATCGTCCACGATCTATATGCAAACCCAAATCTATATAACAGAAAGATGAATTTACTTCTTATACAAAGTATTCTTATTGCAAAACATTGGTTTTCCAAGGTAACATCATTTAATGAGCGGTAGAAAACTAAGGAAATCATTTTTGCGGAAGACTTTGATTCACAAAAAGCTTTGTCCCTACCAAATGCGCCATACAGCTAGCTACCTTATAAACTTAGCCATTAGATAATAGAACGGGCATTGGGTTTTGACATTTAAGTGGTTCAATAACACTTATAGCTAACAACGACCACTTAGCTTGAATACATGCCACTTCTTTACTGACATAGGTATTTTGAATATGATTGTTATGATCACATTGATATAACATTAGTTCATTTGTCAGCTTTAGCCAATATCAAGTCTCATACCCTTGGTAAGTTCTTAGCAACAAGGCAAAAGTGGGTGGTATCTCTAAACAAAGAGTGAATAGTTTGAGGTGTTAGACATGTACCATTAAGACTATCTTTATGAACATATTTTAACACATTAAAGTCATTATTAAATCACATACTATCATAAAACTTTGAATACATAAAAAATAAAAAAACTTTAAACATGTTATTAATTCTCATTTCCTCTATGTTAACCCAACTAATGAAGATGTATAACACTCCCTCTCAGTTTTCTCTCGTAGCTAGGCCGCCAAACATTTTGAAGTTATCAAATATTAATCTCCCTACATCCTCAAACTAAAAACTACAAGCTCTGATTACAATCCATAAAAATCACAGTTACCAAAATGGCCTATGCAGCCACTAAAATAACCCAAGCTAGCTTCTATTTCGTGCCTCTCCATCTGCATACCGACAAAACAACAACCAATGTCTTTGGGAATCTTACTTCCATCCTTAAGCCATAAAACCAAAATCTCCAAATAATCGATAATAGCTACAACTCATGAAGCCATCAACTATCTCATGTTCCAACATCCTATGTAAGTTTAATCCTACTTGCAGCCAAACAGCCCCTTTGGGGTTAAATATAGACATGGGGCGGATTACTAAATCCTGTGAATCGGCTGATTTAGTAAATCCGGGATGAACGAAGAGAAAGAATGGCGCAAACAGGATTACCTTCCTCAATGGTTTCGGATAGGAGCAGAGCGGAAGGAGGATAAAGATGAGGTTTTATGGTTTCGGATAGTCTCTACAAGCCGCGATCCCGTCGTTTCCTTCCCAGCTAGCTATGATGGCGATGCTTTAGGGGGGTTTAGGGTTCAGGGTTTAACAGCGAGGGGGTGCGAGGGTTTCGTGGAGAGAAGGGGAAGAGGGAGGGAGGGATGGGGTCTAGATGTGTTTTAATTGATTAATTAATAATTCATTGTTATATTATCCAATTAATTATCATTAAATAAATTTATATATGATTATTTTATAATTAATTATTGAATAATATATATATTTAAAATTTTACATTATTTAATAAAAATTTTATATAATTCTTAATTTATAGTCAATAATTAATTAATATTAAACTATTATTTGATAAGTAATTAATATACATAAAAAATATTAACTATCAATTAATGTAAATGCGTTCTTTTATGTATTTTGAGATTTTCAATACTTTTTTATATTTTTTATTTAATATTTACTTTTGGATATTTCTTCTCATAAATCATGTTAAAATAACATCACAAAATTTACTTAATAATTTGATATCTTGTTCTTATCTATTTTGGTGCTATTTGTATCGAATATATTTGGCTTATATTTGGCAGAAACGGTTAGTTCCATTATTGTTTTTATTTTTGCAAACTAAACTTAACAAATTGCACCAAAATTTTGTTTTTAATAAAACTAGCATTGTTTTTCATATTTTTTTTTTTTCAAATTATGACTTAAATATCATTAGATTTAATTCATCCACACAAATACAAGTAGATATGATGATCATATATATTCTTAAATTTTAAAATAAATAGGCAAATAGTTTATCTAAACTAAATAAGATTTAACACCTATGTTAAAATTTATAAGCACAAGAATTTCAAATCTTTATGTATATATTTTGCGAAATTTACACACTGCCCAATTTTTATGTATTTTAACATTATTTTTTTACATTTATGTCTGATACATCTCCAATAGATCTCTACCATACTACATGAATCTCGAGAAATTACATAGATCAAGAGAAATTTTTTTGAGCAATAACAATTTTTATGTATTTTAACATTTATGTCTGATACATCTACAATAGATCTCTACCATACTCATGAATCTCGAGGAATTACATAGATCAAGAGAAATTTTTTTGAGCAATAAATATTCAAACATTGATAAAAACTCATCCAGAACTCCGATTTCAGCAAACTTATAGTCAAACTAACCGGCTCAACAAGAAGAACTCAATATTATTAAAATTTGTCCAACCCAAGTTAAATCAAGCTCAGATCAAGTCATTAAATAACTTTTGAAAGTTTTTTGAACAAGAAGAACTCAATATTATTAAAATTTGTCCAACCCGAGTTAAATCAAGCTCTAATCAAGTCATTAAATAACTTTTGAAAGTTTTTTGAATTTATTTAGAAGGTTAAACCAATGTCGAATCCAGCAAGTCTATAATCAATCGAGTGTCTCGACAAGAATCCAACGAGTCAAGATTGCTCAATTCTGACATCATTAAAGCACTCAAATGTCAAACAAACGTGGTCTGATCGAAGGAAACTCTCCGGACCGTTCGATCATAGTGGTTCATATTGCTGATTAATTACACTCAAAATACTATAAATAAAATCTCACCTCTTTCATGAGGAGGAAGGGAGGAGTCTTGAGAGAGAATTTAAAGTTTTGAGAATGAGTTAAAATCCAACACTACCTCTGCCACCATCGATCCTGTCAGCTGTCGTCGACCACCTCCGATCACCATCAATCATCACCAACCGCTACTGATCGTCATTGACCACTGCCGACCGCCGTCAACAATCACTAAATATTTTAATTAAAAAAATATATATTTTCATGCATGATTATAATAGCATATATGTAAAAATTTAAGTTTAGAAATTAGATATATAAATGCATAACAATTGAGTCGTAGCATGTAGATCTTCTTTTATAATTTTTTTTTCCAAAATCAGTAGCGAGAATATTTTATTTGTGTGAAAAAATTTTACATTCAAATGAAGTGCTTACTAATGATATTTTTTTTATTAGTATTGATAATATTATTATAATTTTTTTTTTCCAAAATCAGTAGCAAGAATATTTTATTTGTGTGAAAAAATTTTATATTCAAATGAAGTGCTTCCTAATGATATTTTTTTTATTAGTATTGATAATATTAATAATATTATTATGTCAAAACAGTACAATGAATATCATTAATTGCACCTCCGCTAATTAGCTATGAATATTTTCTCCATGTGCGGTGTGCTCTGGGAAATTACGTCATCTTCTCCGGATGAAATAGGCTAATCATTGTTATCGCCGAACCTCACTGTCTCTCAGTGCACAAGGAACGAGAAAGCCATGGCTGATTTGGGAAAGATCGAGCACTCTCACGTACTCATTCATGGCAACATCGGAAGCCTCAAACTTCACATCGCCCGAATCGGAAAAGGTTGGAGAGAACACATTCGCCCATTCTCTTCTGAATTTCACTGTTTCTTTGACCAATTCTGATAAATCTGAGTTTTTTTTTTTTTTCTTTTTTCCCTTTTATCTCGGTTGACGGCAGGGGAACTGGGGACGGTGGTCTTCCTGCACGGCTTCCCGGAGATATGGTACACCTGGAGGTATCAGATGATAGCCGTCGCCGACGCAGGGTTCCAAGCTATCGCTCCGGATTTCAGAGGCTACGGCCTATCCGATCAACCGCCGGAGCCCGAGAAAGCCACTTTTGACGAACTCATCGATGATCTCCTCAGTATTCTAGACGCACTCGATGTCCCCAAGGTGCTCTCTCTCGCAAATCAAACAAACCTAAAACACTCTGTATGGTAATTAACAGAAACATCTTACCTGCAACTCTGAACGCAGGCCTTCCTAATCAGCAAAGATTTCGGAGCATTTCCAGCTTACACTTTCGCCGTCAAGCATCCGGATCGCGTCCAGGGTTTGGTAACTCTCGCTCCCCGATCGGCTTCAAGGAAAGCTTCTCTCTCCCCGAGGGATTCTACATCAATAGATGGAGGGAGCCAGGGCGAGCAGAAGCGGATTTCGGTCGGCATGACGCTAAGACGGTCGTGAGGAACATCTACATCCTCTTTTCTAAAAGCGAGATCCCCATAGCAGCTGAAGGTCAAGAAATCATGGATCTAGTTGATCCTTCCACGCCACTCCCGCCATGGTTCACGGAGGAGGATCTCGAGGCCTACGGTGCCCTCTACAAGAACTCCGGCTTCCGCTTCCCGCTGCAGATCCCATATCGGTGAGCATGTCCACTTCATTTAACCTAAACCTAAACCCACATAATTTCGAACCGCGCTTATTGTTTCGACAGGCAACTGAGGGTGGAGCAGCCGACGACGGAGGATCCGACGATTAAGGTGCCGGCATTGCTGATAATGGGGGAGAAGGATTACGTGATCAAATTTCCGGGGATGGAACAGTACGTGAGGGGTGAAACGCAGAAAAAATTTATACCTAATCTGGAGCTCAAATTCCTGCCGGAAGGATCGCATTTCGTCCACGAGCAGAATCCGGAAGAGGTGAACGGGATCATCCTCGATTTCCTCAAGAGAAATGTTTGAAGCTCGTCTGGATTATATAAGAACTACTGTTACTGCTTGCCTATGTATCCATCAATAACCAGATTGGATGCAGTTGATTCTGCAGCTTATAAGATCTGGCTGTCTGGTTTCCGGAATGAAATTAGTGTTTTGCAATATAGTGATGATTGGTTGCTTCCAAGGCTCAGGGAATTAGTTCAGAGTTCGGATTGCTACTTTAAAACTTTTAATTTTAAAGTGAAATATATTTTTATGCATAGTTTATAGCACCAAAATAGTATAAATGTATATATTAAATTTAAATTATATATATA